CAGGGCAGCGGCGTCGCGCTCGTGCTGACTCGCCGGCGCGTCGGGGGTCGATCTCGTAGACTGCCGCCGCGCCGATTTGCAGCAGCTGTAGTCGACTCCACCCACGCCTTGCCGCATACATAGTAGAGAGTCAGTCAAAACGGCTAGGCGCGACTCAGTCAAAGTACAGAGACTCCTGATGCGTTCGAACGAACCATATTACGTAACGTAACCAGAGTGTACATAGTGTAAGTATATGTACGTGTAACATCGAGTAAACAGAAGTTAACTAGTGTAAAATAATACGTAACACACGATGGCAAAGTCAAAATCAAAGGGAGCATGGTGTCTTTATCACTGAATATATTGACCCATTGGTACACTAACATGACTTCAGTCAAATGTTCGATCATCGAAAAATTCGTAACTAAGAAATCGTAAGTCGGCATCTCTGTAATAATAATAAGGATGATGATGAGATAGATGATGATGAATGATCGAATGAGAATGATGATGAAGAATAGAGATAACAATAATAATATACTGAAATAATAAAAAGATAATATGATTATAAGAAATGATAACAAAGACGCAAACGAAATGATAACAATAACAATAACAACCAGCGAAAGAAACAAAACAATAAGCACAGCAATAATGAACCAATAACAAATAAACATCAACAAACGATAAGATACCAAATAACAATAACAACAGCTATCATCGAAACGATAAAAAAAACAACAGCAAAGATACCAATAACATAACGATCTATAAAATAGATAATAATCATACATAAAATAATGACAATACTCATCGACTAGATACGATATTCGTGGTTACATTCGTATACCATCACACCACTTGAAGAGAGAAATTAGCCTAACCAGCGTACAACTCACACATCAAAGGGGGGGGCTCCAAACGTCGGGAAAAAAGTAGAGACATATGCCAGAACGAAAAATATGCGAAGGTGGTCTACCGAACGAAAATGTGAAAAAGGGTTCTCCGGAAATGGAAAGTGAGAAGGTGATAAAAAATGGTCCCAGAACGAAATTGCAGGGAAAAGGGGCCTCCCGCGCACAATTACCCTACCATACAATTATATAGGGAGGCCGCCCCCCGGCGTCAATAAACCGCACTCACCAGTAAGCAAACACGTGAGATGACGCCCCGACGGGAAGCGGTCGGGCGCGGGACACGTCCGAAACGGCAAGCGAACTCCTGCCTCGCCTGGCCCGCGCCCGCCTCGACGAACGACCGTCAGACGACCTCGTCCAGGCCTGCGTCGCGTGCGCGCACGTATCGGAACCACTGACGGGTCTTGTCGTGCTCATGGCGACCGCCGAGCGGACAGTTCCCGTCGGCGTCGGATCGTGAACCAGGGTGCGTCCCCTGGCGGCTCTGCGTCCAGCGGTAGTCGACCGCCCGCGCCACTGACGTCGTCGTATCACCTAGTGAGGTAGAGCCGGGGGGTTAGATCAATAGTGTAGGATGAAATCAATAGATAGTAGGATCGATAATAGGATAAAATTAGGTAGGGCGGTAGAGGTTAGAGCGTAGATATGCATAGTGCTGCACACGGCGATGTAACAAACTTATCGTATATGTATTTTGTACAGGCAAGATCAACCAATGCGGCGCGCACACGCACGCAACGCACGCACGCACGCACGCACGCACGAGCACCGCACGCACACCACCACGCACGCCGCACCACGCACACACGCAGACACACACAGAAACGCACACACACACACAGACACGCACACACGCACGCGTACCTTGACGATGGACGTCGCCATGGCGAGTTTCGTCCGATCCCACCGTCGCGCGTAGCTCGGACTGAACACGGGATACGCTCCGCGGCGTCGTACACGGCGACTGTCACGTCCCTGGCGGCGCTCAGCGCGGTCGTCTGGTCAACGGCGGTCAGCGTGAGAGCGTGGTCGCCGGCGGCAACCGCCCGCGACGTCGACAACACTCCGCTCAGCGCGTCGACGGAGAACGCGTCCGTGGCGCCCCCTGTGAGCGCGTAGCGGATCTCGCTTTACCGTTAGGCCAGACAAAATGTGTAGATATTCCGTCGCGGCAGGCTGTCGTCTGGCAAAGAAAAGTGAAGGTCCTTATGTACTAAACTCTATGTACACACAAGGCGATTGGTCGCAGCGATGATCGGGCCGACTGATTCGGGCACTCAATCGCCTAAAAAGTGTGTCCACTGAGTCGCCGGCGATTTCGAGCGGGCGACTCCATCAAACATTTGATAAAATCGGGCACTAATAGAAAAGCGCGCCCAACATGCAGCTAATACAATCGACTTAACAATGCCTACTACGCGCAACGAATGTACAAATATCCCTCAGCAAATCCATGCCATTTTAATCATGTGAACTATCAATCCTAGCTGCGGAAAATGTTTTAGTGCTAGAGGACGAGAATCCCGTATAAATCGCGCTGAAAATTCACCTAGTGTGTCCACTGAATCCCCGACTTAGCGCCTGACTCAGTCCTACGGTGTAAAGACCAATGCCCGACTCAATCGCCTGACCAGCCGACTCAATGGCCTGACTCAACGCCTGACTCAGTCGCCTGACTCAGTCGCCTGACTCAGTCTCCTGACTCAATCGCCTGACTCAGTCGCCTGACTCAATCGCCTGACTCAGTCGCCTGACTCAATCGCCTGACTCAGTCGCCTGACTCAGTCGCCTGACTCAATCGCCTGACTCAATCGCCTGACTCAATCGCCTCGACTCAGCGCCTGACTCAACTCGCCTAGACTCATCGTGCCTGCAAACTCAGTCGCCTGACTCAGTCTCGCTGACTCAAATTCCTGACCAATCGCTGGTGACGTGACGCTGACGGTGCGCGCCACCGATCGCTCGGAATACGCGCGTCACGTCGAGACGCCGCTCAAGATGAACATCTACGACAGCGTCACCGCGGACGACTGGCCAGTCTTCGACGAGACCTACTACACGGGCGTGGCCGCGCAACAAGAGAACGCCGCGCAGGAGCTGTTCACGGTGCGCGCGACGACGGTAGGCGGCGCCACCGTCGCATACACGCTGCGCGCCGCCGACGCGGCATACGACGGGTATTTCTCCGTCGAGGGCGCCACCGGTGTCGTGTCGACCGTCGCCGGTCGCCCGCTCGATTACGCCGCCGCGCAGTGGCACCACCTGGTGGTGACGGCGTCGGCGGCGGGGCTGAGCACAGACGCCGTCGCCACGGTGACGGTGACTCGCGACGCGTCGCCCGTGTTCGCGCCGCCGCCGTCGCCGCTCATGGTCGCCGCGTCGCATCCCGCCGGCGTCGTCGTCTACCGCGCGCACGCGACCTCCCACACGGGGGCGCCACTGCTCTACTCGCGCGTCGACCCGAGCAGTGACGAGTTCGCGGTCGACCGCGACACGGGCGACGTGCGCACGACCGTGGCGCCACCTCTGAGCCTCGGCGCGCAGACGCTGACGGTGTTGGCGACGGAGCAGGGCGTCGGCGGGCTGTCGGCCCGGCAGACGATCAACATCGAGGTTTACGACGTCGCCGGGAACGCACCGATATTCACGACTCCCGCCTACAGCGCGGAGGTCCCCGAGAGGGCGCCACCGGGCTACAGCGTGTGCGTCGTCAAGGCGACGGCGGCAGCGGGAGCGGAGGTCGCGTACACCATCGCGGCGGATTCGCCGTCCCGCGACGATTTCGCCGTGGATGCTGCGAGTGGCGTCGTCACGACGACGCGGATGCTCGACGCGCCCGCGCTGCTGCAGCTCGTCATCATGGCAACGAACCTCGACGTGTCGGCGCCGACAACCACGGCCGTCGTCGGCGTCGTCGTCATGGAGACGGCGACGTCCGGCGAGGCGCCGGTTTTCGCGCCCGTGCCGGACCCGGTGCGCGTGCACGTGACGTGGCAGCAAGACGCCACCTTCTACACGGTGTATGCGACGGGCAGCGGCAAACTCCAGTACGTGATAGACGGAGGCAGTACACTGTACTCGGTGAGTGAGGGTGGTTGGGTGGGGGGAGGGGCTGAGGGTGGTTGAGTGGGAGGGTGCTGAGGGTGGCTGAGTGGGAGGGTGCGTGAGGGTGGCTGGGGTGGGAGGGTGGCTGATGGTGGCTGGGGTGGGAGGGGGCGTGAGGGTGGTTGGGTGGGAGGTGGCGTGAGGGTGGTTGGGTGGGAGGGGGCGTGAGGGTGGTTGGGTGGGGGGGTCGGTGCTAAAGGTGGCTGGGTGGGAGGGGGTGCTGAATGTGACTGGGTGGGAGGGGGCGTGAGGGTGGCTGGGTGGGGAGGGGGGGGGTGCTGAGAGTGACTGGGATCTAGTATTGGATTATGAACCTTGTACGTATGTGTTCACTTGTGTTCCCGCCTGCTCATACACTCCCTCTCCTTCTCCTTCTCTCTCTCTCATGCTCCATCTACTACTCATGCCTCTTTTCCTTGTCATCCTCCTTCTCTTTCTTCTCCTTCTCATGCTCCATCTTCTCCTCATGCCCCTTCTCCTGCTTTTCTTCCTCATACCCCCTCTCTTTCTCCTCCTTCTCCCTTTCCTTCTCTTTCTCACGCCCCTTCTCATGCCCCTTCTCATGCCCCTTCTCATGCCCCTTCTCATGCACATTCTCCTTCTCTTTCTCATGCCCCTTCTCATGCCCCTTCTCCATCCCCTCCTCCTCCTCCTTCTTCGTCTCATGCTCGTTCTTGCGTTGCTACACAGCTGCACGGAGACACGGGAGAGCTGAGTACAAGAAGAGCGCTGCAGCCGACGGACGTCGGCACCAACTACGTCACGATCAGCGCCACCGATGCCGACGGCCTCACAGCCGACATGACCATGTACGGGGGAAGCTAGAGCGAGATAGGCGGAGAGAGAGAGCAGAGAGAGAGAGAGAGGAGAGAGATAAAAAGAGAGAGCGAGAGAAGAGAGAGAGACGAGAGAGAAGAGAGAAGGCGCGAGCGAGGAGAGATAGAAGCGGAGAGGAGAGAAGAGATGATATGAGAGAGCGAGAGAGAGAGAGAGATGAGAGAGAGAAAGAGAGAGAGAGAGAGAGCGTGAGAGTGAGAGAGAGAGATAAGAAGAGAGAGGAAGGGAGAGGAGAGAGAGAGAAGAGAGTGAGAGAGAGATAGAGAGAGGGAAGAGCAGAGAGAGAGAGAGATAGATGAGAGAGGTGCAGAGAGCAGAGATAGAGAGAGAGAGAAGAGAGAGAAGAGAAGAGAGTAGAGAGAGAGAGTACGGGGGAAGCCAGTCGTAGATGCGAGAGAGAGAGAGAGGGGGGAGAGGGTGGGAGGGAGGTCGAGAGATAGAGAGAGAAAGAGATATTATATAAAAGAGGCGAGGGCGGAGAGAGAAAACACATAAAAAATAAGGCGAGAGAGAAGAGAGAGCGGAGAGAGAGAGAGAGAGAGAGAGAGAGAGAGAGAGAGAGCGAGAGAGAGAAAGATATGAGAGCGAGATAGAAAGAGAGAGAGAGCGAGAGAGAGAAAGATATGAGAGCGAGATAGAAAGAGAGCGAGAGGGGGAGAGAGAGAGAGAGGAAACAAAAATATATGTATATAAAGAGGAGAGAGGCGGAGAGAGCGAGAGCGAGAGAGAGAGAGAAAGCTATGAGAGCGAGATAGAAAGACAGATAGAGAGAGAAAGATGCGAGAGATAGAGAGGGGGTAGAGGGCGGGAGAAGAGAGAGAGCCAGAGAGAGTGGGTAGGGGGCGAGTAGAGAGGGATTGAGAGGGCGAGAGAGACAAGGAAATATGAGAAGCGAGGAGGGGCGAGAGAGAGGAAGGCAATCTAGAGAAGAGACGAGAAGAGAGACAGAGAGATAGAGACATAGATAGAGCGAGAGAAAGAAAGAGACATAGAGAGAAAGAGAAAGAGAGAGAGAGAGAGATAAAGTGATGAGAGCGATATAGAAAGAGAGAGAAAGATGAGAGACAGACAGAGAGAGAGAGAGAGAGAGAGAGAGAGAGACACAGAGAGAGAGAGAGACAGAGTCGCGCGCACGTATATACGATGACGCGATAACACGTTAGTACTTACTCTTACCACCAGGAGCGTGGAGATCTACTCCGGCTCGCTCGCCTACCCTGAGTACACAGAGCCATACTACACAGCCGGTGTGCGTGAGGGGCTGCCCCCTGGTGAGCATGTCGTCAGCGTTGAAGCGTCGGTGCCGGCAGAGAGCGTCGAGTACGATTTCACGGAGGCGTCCTTGAGCTTCCACATAGATCCCAATAGTGTGAGTATGGCTGCAAGCATTGCCATGATGATGATGGTGATGATGATGATAATAATAATAATAATAATAATAATAATAATAATAATAATAATAATAATAATGCGTGTGTTGTGATGCCCTGACTGCTCTAATAATAATAATAATAATAATAATAATAATAATAATAATAATAATAATAATAATAATAATAGTGTGAGTGCGGCTGCTAGCATTGCGATGATGATGATGGTGATGATGATAATGGTGATAAAAAAATAAATAATAATAGTGTGAGTGCGGCTGCAAGCAAGATGATGATGATTATGATCGTGGTGATGGTGATGGTGATGATAAAATAATAACGATATAAGTGACAACAGCAGCAACAATCGATGTTACCGTTGCGTGCTACACGTCGTATGTGTGTGTGCGTGCGTGTGTGTGTGTGTGTGCGTGCGTGTGTGTGTATGTGTGTGTGCGTGCGTGCGTGTGTGTGTGTGTGTGTGTGCGTGCGCGCGCGTGTGTGTGTGTATGTGTGTGTGTGCGTGTGTGTGTGTGCGTATGCGTGTGTGCGTGTGTGCGCGTGCGTGTGTGTATTTGTCAACGCTATGTAGCCGTGACTTGCTGGCGTGGCGGGGTTGAGATATGACGGGGTGATATTTCACACGTCACTTTCCTCGTACTACAGGGTGACATCGTGACACTGGTAGAGCTAAGCTATGATGTGCAGTCCCTTCACTACCTCACCGTCAGGGCCTCTGTCACCGGCCAACCCTCACTCTACACAGACGTACTGGTAAGTCATTGCAGGAGGAGATCATCTATTGACTACGGTGGTAGGAAGGTAGAGTTCAATTGACTACGTCACGAATTTTCCATGGTAAAATTTGTAAAAATTTTGTTGCCATTTTTTTAAATTAAAAGTAAGAACTAACGGGACTAAACGTATCGTCAAATTGATTACCTGATAAGATTGTTTCTCAACTAGTTAAAAATCCAAAACAACATTGTTTACTAACTAATTGGCTGGCTGATGGACCATTGTTTACTAAGTGATTGACAATTATTTACTAACTGATTGACTGGCCGATGGACCATTGTTTACTAAGTGATTGACAATTGTTTACTAACTAATTGACTGGCTGATGGACCATTGTTTACTAAGTGATTGACAATTGTTTACTAACTAATTGACTGGCTGATGGACCATTGTTTACTAAGTGATTGACAATTGTTTACTAACTAATTGACTGGCTGATGGACCATTTTAATCAGTCAATCAACAATTGTCAATCACTTAGTAAACCTGACTGCTTGACAATTGTCTACTTACTAATGGATTGGCTGAGTAACCAGTGTTGACCAGCTAAGTGGCCACTCTGTTATTTACCGCTACGTTGTTGACCGCTGCGTGTCTATAGGTAAGCGTGTTCGTGACGAGCTACCAGCCGCCAGTCTTCTCACCGGTGGCGCCACTGGTGCGCGTCGCCGATGACGTCACCGCGCAGACGCTCGTGTACACGGTCTACGCGACGCACGGTGGCGCCCCCATCCGCTACAGCCTGCGTGCCGACGCAGCCATGTTTGCTGTTGACCCTACACGCGGCGACGTGTCCACACGTGAGTGATAGATGGCGCCACTGCGCCCATGTATAAGAACGTACTCCTTATCTTGTTATTATTTCTCGTGTAATTTAATAGCAGTAGCAGCAGCAGCAGTGGTAGCAGTAGTAACATCAGCAGTAGCAGCAGCAGTAGCACCACCACCACCAGCAGCAGCAGCAGTAGTAGTAGCAGTAGCAGTAGCAGTAGCAGCAGCAGGAGCAGCAGCAGTAGCAGCAGCAACAGTAGCAGTAGTAGCAGTAGCAGCAGCAGCAGCAGCAGCAGCAGTAGCAGTAGCAGTAGTTGCAGCAGTAGTAGCAGCAGCAGCACCACCAGCAGCAGCAGCAGCAGCAGTAGCAGCAGTAGCAGTAGCACCACCACCAGCAGCAGCAGCAGCAGCAGTAGCAGCAGCAGCAGCAACAGTAGTAGCAGCAGTAGCAGTAGCAGCAGTAGTAGCATCACTAGAGGTAGTACTACATACATACATACACACAAGCATACATACACACATACTCGCACATACAAACATACACACATTTGCAGGTGTCGCACCGCCGCTTCTCATCGGCGACTACGTCATCACTGTGCGCGCCGAGGACTCGCTGAACAGCGCCCTCTATGCCGACGTCGATCTCAACGTAGAGGTTTACAACGCCGCGATAGTCGTCGAGTATCCGCGCTTCGATCAGACGATTTACGACGCGACCGTGGAGGAAGGCGGGGCGGCCCCGCAGCCGGTCGTCACGGTGCGCGCGGCGACACCTGGTGGCGACTCGGTCATGTACGAGCTGAATAACGAGGACGCGGGATACGACGGCTACTTCGACATGG